ATATATATATACACACACACACACATATATATATATATATATATATAGTAAATTAAATTGTTCATCGTTTTGAATGCCATTGCATTAAGCTTTCATTAACTCGAATGAATATTCGATGAAAACTCATTTTAGGACTAGAAATCTTAAACAAAATTCCATTTTTAAGTTAAAACTGTTGGGTGGTTAAATAAAGTACCGTAAGTGACTGACAAAACGTGGAGGTCTGCGTTCAGAAACGTTGTATTGTGAAATGACCAGCTCCTTTCCCAAACCAAAGCTGGTTTTGCCAATGAACCGTGTTTGCTGCTAAATAGCCTGAAGTCTGTGAGAAATTACAGAATTTGCAAAAGTATGATACCTTTTTGTGTGGAAATGGCGCCTCTGCTGGTAAAATGGCGAATAGCACTACATGAAGAAGAAAAAAAGGGTCCTGCTGCTGGCATGAATTATCAATGCACTCTGTTACTGGAAGCACCATTATAAAGACATTAAACCTCTCTTCCTCTGTCTCCTATTATCCATCAGATGAGGGAAGCAGGAAACCCAAAAGATCTGTAGGGCCTTGCAATAAATCATTCACTCCATTCAGTAAGCAGCATTTTCATCTTAGTCACATTGCCACGTACAATAATGGATAGAACTGCCCATGATACAGGACCAACCAGTCCAGCACAAATCATTACAGGCCATCGATAAAAAGCTCAGGAGACTTTATGAAGGCTACAGTCAGCAATATCGAATAATTAGCATGAATAGCTTTTTGTTTTAAACTCAGTGACCTCAATTTAATGGTTAAAATGAGGTAAACTACAATCTTCAGGAATATCTCAGTCTTAGTTAGAGGCATATCCTACACCTACTGATTTACTACATGACGTATTCCACTGTGGGATTTTTCCCGTCGTCGTAAAATGTATTTAGTGGTCGGTTGCATATTCGAATGGCAGATCTTTCCCGCTAACTAGATCCAAAATCTGAATTCTTATCCCATTCCTAACCTCATGACATGACCTTTACAAAAGTCCTAGTCATTATGCTGTCCTGTCCGCTCACCCAAAAAGTGCTAGTGTTGAATGCCTCACCTACATACAGTACATGCTTAGACTACCATCTGGTGGTGGTTGTTTTCTTTAAAATAAACCGTTTGTAGTTTCAGTCCGATGAGTTCATTCAGAATGGCTATCTAGTTTTCTGAAACCAACATTCTCAGACTTGTTTTTCCTGTAAAAGGAATTAATGGAAGGGGCGACTGAACATAAATAACATCAGAAAGTCAACCACAAGTACAGTTTGGGATATTTTCAAACATATTTCTTTATATTAGCACATCATAGCCACTTTGCACACCGTTTTCTTGCAACTTTATATACGCTTAAATAATAAAAATGGCATTTCCATTTTTGCGCCATTGTTTGCAGAGATAGACTATTGCAACATTCATATTTCATTCTCTGGAGACTGATAAATATGAACAGGCAACAGTCTGTAGGCCTGTATTATTTCATGAATGACTCACTGTATTCAGTATTAATAAAATATTTCTACCATCTATAAGAGAATACTATTTTAAGAATATATTGGGAATACTAATACATTCAGAATTTATATTGATAATACGTATTTGATTATATACTGTACATATTTTAATTTATTTTAGTGTAGCACTTCATCTAGTGGTATTTCATAAATAACTTTTGGCTTCAATAGCTTTAATAACTTGATTTACACTGGGTAAGATCTATCTCAAAAACATTTATGTCATATTGACACAGTTTCTGTTTATTCACAGAGTGATCCATTAATCCAGCGATAGCGATAGTTCATCTAAAAATAAAAATGTTGTGTAGAAAATAAAAGAAGATATTTTGAAGAATGTTGGTAACCAAAAAGTTTCAGTTTCCATTGAATTCCACTGACTTTATTTATTTATTTATCCATATGGTAAAAATCAATGAGAATAAAAACTGTTTGGTAACCAACATTTAAAATATTTTCTTGGTAGATATTTTGAAGAACGTTGGTAACTAAACCGTTTGGTTTCCACTGACTTCCATTATATTTTTTTCGTCCATAAAATGTAAGTCAATACACGTGAACCGGAATTGTTTGGTTACCAACATTTAAAATATCTACCAAGAAAATATTTTGAAGAACGTTGGCAACTAAACAGTTTTAGCTTCCATTGACTTTAAAGGAATACTCCACTATTTTTGAAAATAGGCTAATTTTCCAACTCCCCTAGAGTTAAACAGTTGAGTTTTAATCAATATCAGTGTATTATCAGTTTGTCTAGGCTGACTACCAGAGTTCCTGACAGGACAGTCGATGTGTAAAATTTTGCAATGGAAAGTGCCCCGGATGATAAGGAGAGATGAAACGCTTTCTGCTGCCATTTCCTCTGATATCCACCTGCCTTATCGATCCTCACGCGAATAGTGGCTGTAATGATGGTAATTCACTTTAGAGGCTGACCCGTTCAGAGCACTGAGAGGATAATGAAGAATTAGCTGGACTTGAATTGAACTTAAATTGCTCTGATTGAATTACTTGGAAATGTCATCCATCACCTGGCAAAGCAATAAGGGCCATTATTTGATGCAGATGTTATTCTTCATGGACAATAGTCTCCATCTGATATGAAATGCAGGGCCAAAATGTCTACTACTGCCTTACTAGAACACCTCTTAAAATGGTTTTAAATCAGCATTATCGTGATCAATAAATGCATGCATATATATATATATATATATATATATATATA